CAATTCCGCAGGCAAGGGCGCTAGCAGGAAGAGGCAGGCTTCTGGCTCCTCCAGGCGTAGGAGGAAGAGGGCAAAGACGACTGCTTTTCAGCAGCAGTCTGCCCCTCCGACTTCCGCTCCGGCAGAACGTCGGAAATCTTCCTTCCGCGGTAGGGGTTCCCATAGGGGTCGAGGCAAAGGCAAAGTTTCCAGAGGTAGGAAGGGTTCCTGACTCTTCCTTGCCCTTGCAAACTCCTTGTCCACTGTCTGTGGCCGCTCCCACGTCCTTGGGCGCGGGAGGCTCCGCCGAGGTGGTTTGGGAAGGGCTAGATTGGCCCCTTCCGGACTTGCCAGTAGGCGGTCGGCTGTCCCATTTCGTTCCTCAGTGGAAAGAAATCACTTCAGACAGTTGGGCCCTAGGGGTTGTGTCCAAGGGTCTCTGCATCCCGCTTCTTCGGGATCCACCTCTGGCGCGAGAGCCTATCTTTTTCCCTTCTCCTTCCGATCCGGGAAAGGTGGAGGCTCTCAGGTCAGAGGTTCAAGCCATGATCGCGAAGGGCGCGATCGAAGAACTTTCACGGGACCAGTGGTCTCCAGGGTTTTACTCCCGGGTCTTCCTCGTGAAGAAGAAGTCCGGTGCCTGGAGGCCTATTATCGACCTCAGTACGTTCAACACGTATGTCGATTCCCCGCACTTCCAGATGGAAACGCCACGGCGCATCATTGCGTCAGTGCGTCCAGGGATGTGGGCTACGTCCATCGATCTGAAGGATGCTTACTTTCACATCCCGGTCAGGAGGTCGGCCAGGAAGTTCCTCAGGTTCACTTTCGAGCAGAAGGTTTACCAGTTTCGCGCTATGCCCTTCGGCCTCACTACGGCCCCCTTGGTTTTCACCAAGTTGTTGCAGGTAGTAGTGGGGCACCTCCACAGTCTCGGGGTAGATGCACACATCTACTTCGACGACTCCCTGTTGCTCCAAGTGGATCCAGTTATCCTGTCCCGGAGCACGAGGTCGGTTCTGGGCGTTCTGTGCCGCCTAGGGTTCATCCCTTCCAGGGAGAAGTCGGAGGTTCTCCCCTCTCAAGATTTTGTTTTCCTCGGTTATCGGTTCAGAACCGATCTGGGGTTTGTCCTTCCACCAGTGTCCAAGTTCGAGAAGGCCTCTCTGTTGGTCTCCGTTCTGGTCGGTGTGGAGCGAATTCAGGTCCGATGGTTCCTTCGGTTCCTCGGTTACCTGAATTCATTGGCGGATGTGGTTCCCTTGGGTCGGCTTCACATCCGTCCGCTCCAGCTGTTCCTTCTGTCAGTTTGGTCTCCGGCGTCTCGACAGTGGGATGTGTACATTCCTCTGCCGGAGTCGGTGAAGGAATCAGCTCGTTGGTGGACTCTCAAGAGCAATGTCTTGGCAGGAGTTCCTCTGGTTCGGGCATCTCCTGCTATGACCCTTTACACCGACGCGTCCATGACCGGTTGGGGTGCATACCTTTCCGGTCAGACGTCGGCGGGGGTGTGGTCAGGGGAACAGCTTTCAGAACACATCAATGTTCTGGAAATGCGTGCTGTTCTGTTGGCCCTTCGGGGTCTTCGACCCTCCCTGCAGGGCAAGGCCATTTGTCTGGCTACAGACAACTCCACTGTGGTGGCTTATCTGCAGCGCCAGGGGGGCACCCGTTCCCCGGCTCTGTGTGCTTTATCCACCCAGGTCCTGTTGCTGTGTCAGGAGATCAGTCTCGATCTCACGGTGAGGCACCTTCCAGGTCGTCTGAATGTTCTGGCCGACACTCTGTCTCGGTCTCGGAGCCCGGTTCTCACCGAATGGACCCTCAAGCGTTCGGTGTTCCGGTCTCTTTGCCTGGTTTGGGACAGACCCCATGTGGATCTGTTCGCCACGGCCCTGAACTTTCGACTCCCTACATTTGTGTCTCCGGTTCCAGACCCTATGGCCATGGCGGTGGATGCTCTATCCCAGGACTGGTCGGGAATGTACGCGTATGCGTTTCCTCCCTTCAATCTGGTGGGCAGGGTGTTGGAAAAGATCCTTCTACACCCTTGTACTGTGTTGCTGGTTGCACCGCTCTGGCCTCGACAACCTTGGTTTCCTCTGTTGTTTCGGCTGTCGTTGGACTTCCCACGCAGCATCCCACCCCTGTGGGATCTGCTGTCTCAACCGAGGTCCCGACAGTTCTACTCGGGACCGGAACGGCTCCACCTTCACGGTTGGATGCTATCTCGGGAAGGCTCACTCAGACGGGCTTTTCTCGAGAAGTTGCAACTCGCATCGCAGGATCACTTAGACCTTCGTCTTCCGCCGTCTACCAATCCCGATGGTCCGCATTCGGTGATTGGTGTGTCGGACGGTCGATTGATCCAGTCTCTGCCTCTGTTCCCGTTGTAGCTGACTTTCTTTTGTCTCTGTTCAGGGACAAAGGTCTGTCTCCGGGAACTATTGCAGGCTATCGTTCAGCCATTGCTAGTGTGCTGGCTTTCTATGGTAGCAAGTCAGTGGGCTCGGACGCTTCATTGTCGGCTCTCATTAGGGGCTTCTACATTGAGAAGCCTCGTTCACGGCAATTGGTCCCTAGGTGGAATTTAGCACTTGTGCTAGATTCCTTGTTAAGGGCGCCATTCGAGCCCCTCCAGTCGACAGATCGGAAGTTTCTTACTTTCAAGACTGTGTTCTTGATAGCCTTTGCTTCCGGTCGCCGCAGAAGCGAGATTCATGCTTTCAGCAGATCTTCTTCTTGCCTTCGTTTTTCGGCTGGCCATTCTTCGGTCTCGGTGACCACTGATCCCTCCTTTTTAGCTAAGAACCAGGTTCCCGGTTTCACCCCAGGGCTTGTGGTTATCCCTTCTTTGGCTTCAACTCTGGATGGGGATTGTCCTGATCGCCTGCTCTGCCCAGTTCGGGCCTTGCGTTACTACTTGGCCAGAACAGAGGGGGGGGCGGGACACTCGTCTCGGCTGTTCCAGTCTCTCCAGCCCGGTCGCTCTGATATCTCTGCAGCGACCATCTCACGCTGGATTGTTCAGACTGTTCGAGCTGCGTATGAGTCGGCAGGGGATCAGTCCTTGCGGGTGTCAGGGGTTAGGGCTCATGAGGTTCGCGCTTTAGCTACTTCGTGGGCCTTATTTAATGGTTCTTCTTACGCTGAGGTCATGACAGCTGCTGTTTGGAGGGGTCATTCTACGTTTACGGAGTTCTATCTCCGATCTTTGTCGGGACAGTCTGACGGATTGTATTCTTTGGGCCCTCTTGTGGCTGCCCAGTCCGTTGTCTGTCCTCCCTCTTCTTTTGCATAAGCCTCATTATGTCTTCTCCGCGTGATCCGGAACGCTGGTCGTAATCAGGCTTTGTGTCACAAAAGGAAAGGGTATTTTGAATTTTTCCTCCGGGGGTATGGGTCCTATTGTTGGAACCCTTCATCGCTCCACGGAGACACCACTGCGGTAAGTCGAATTCGCATTATAATGACTGTGGTAACGTATTTTGAAATAGAATTGAGGTTTCTCTTGTGAAACCAATTTCTATTATAAATACTTACCACAGTCATTAGGTGAGTTCCCTCCCAGCCTCCCCTTGTCTCCTTGGCTCTCACTTTTTTGGGCTTTGGAATTATGAAGTGGGAAGCATGGCTTCGTGTCTTAAATCACGTGCGTGAATACTGCCGTCTGATTGGTGGGTTTCCCAGGGGTTCCCCATGGGGGGAAAAATTCTTTATTTACGTATGTAAAGAGCCAAGTAAGGTTGGAATATGCATTATAATGACTGTGGTAAGTATTTATAATAGAAATTGGTTTCACAAGAGAAACCTCAATATTGTAAGTACCCCTAGCTACTTAGAGGACATGGAAGATCTACTTTCTTAACGTGCAGAATTGTCTTTCATGTCTACACATTTCCACGCTTTATAGTCAGATTTCTGTATAATTAAGGAAAACAGTCAGGCAACCTTTTTTTTGGTTTATAAATTCACTATTGTTTTTACAAAATTCAGTAAAATTTGATAGCATAATTGCTCCTATCCGAGTGGTCTAAATTCAGAACTGTGTCACACACCTGTAAAAAAAACCTATAAAATTCAAGCAACTGGAAAAATAAAATAAAAACACTCCAGTTAAAAGAGAGAAAAAAACATTTAAGAAGCTAAGTGGTGATGAAGGTAAGGGCAGTGATATCGGCCACGGAGTTCACACGCGGTATTAAAAAGACACTGGGACAAAGGGTGGTGGCCCTATTTCGACGTCATTCTTGACACTGCCGTTTGTGTTGAAACATCATTTCTTCTTCAAAAAATAGCACAAAGGATCCGATTAACTGTTAACAACTTCACTAAATCAAAATAACATCAATAACCTTTACAAAATGTACCACATCAAACGGGAAAAGCAGCATTTGGGGAAATGTTAACAGCTGGTTCACCCGTTGTCGGTATAATGTGACCGGGCGGAATGCTATACCGGGTGCCTGCGGCATGGTATTTCAATGAGATAACACTATAACGTCGGCATCAGATCCGCGCTATCACAAGGACACTAACATACCCTGTTTTCGACATACATGCACGTTCACACAACACAGATATAGTCACGTCTTAAAATGGCCGAGGATGTTTAAAGGACGTTACACATTATAAAATCCAAACCAATCCCTTCTGATTCGGGGCTATCGTAGTTTAACCTGTCGGGCATCTCTCATCTGTACCGCCGAACTCTATCCTTGACCGGTAACTTTACCCGTTATCTCGACTGTTCCGACACTATCCTTGACCTGTTATCTCTATTCCCCTTTCATACTCTAAACTAAACTGAGAGGCCTACGAGTTCTGTGTCCTCTGTCCTGCCGTAATGTAACTCTTGAGTGACAGGATTACGAGGAAATATGAATTTAACTCTTTATTAATTCAACGAGCTTTTAAAACAGGTGGACAGCTCTTATATCCACTGACCCATAAACAGAAACAATCGCAATTTCGAATCATTGTACAAACTGATGTCCCTTTAATGAAGTGGGTCTCAAGGCTTCCATACATTCCAGTGTGTAGCGAGGCGTTAAGTGTCTGTATCTCGATCAGAGTAGAAGACGTGAACTAGCCGAGTGCACAGCACGATCTAACAGCCGACAGACACATCGTAAGTAGTAAAACTACTTCTTCCTAAAATGTAATGTAGACACTATAAAAACAACAAATGTTATTAAACATTGAAAGGATGTTTTTTGTATACTTCAATATTTTCGTCGTTGTACACTTTTAAACTCATAAAAATAAATGATTTTATATTTGATAACACAAGGAGCCGAGGACATTTCTAGACATGATGTCGAAATTAAATTATACACGCTATATTATTCACATGATACACATTGTATCATGAATATGTGTATATATTGTAAGTTAACTATTCGTTTTGATTTGTGTACACACGCATACACTACACGCATGCATCTTGCACACAGGGGAGGCCGTCATTAAATGACCATAGCTGTTGATAGGACCTTAAACAATACTAAACCAAACCAATCATTTATGAAGGAGTTTTAAAATTCCGTAAGGTATTTTCAGATCAAGCGCCAGCAACACTTCATCCCTGAACAATTTAATATCCCAATCTACAAAGTGTTACTAGATCAAAAATTATTATTCGTCACGCCTGTATCAACCTGCAGTCGCATATTACACTGTCACAGGCTCGGGTAACAGGAACGCACGTCGTACAAACCTGATTTAGAACGTGGACAATCCGACCAAAAACGTTTGGTTGGACTCGAACTACACACAAGTGTACAATTGAAATGTGTCGATGTAATCCATAGCTCAAAACTTTTGTTGATAATGTGTGAATTTGTATACATTTTGTGCTTTTATTCGGCATACGGATTGTTTGGTGTTAGGCCTGCATATAACATGTTAATTTGTAAACAAGCATCAGTTAAAAGACTGTTACGATACGTCAATTACAAATCAATCTGCAAACATATAAGCACAGCACACCTTCGAGTTTGCTGGTCTACTTGATAGTATTTCATTACAAAAATTTCAAACAAATTTAAAAATTAGTTTTGCAGTTTGTTTGCTTACGTGGTTAAACGTTTCTGTAGCGACTAAGATCATATCAAGACGGTTGCCTAGGGAAACACATCCGGATGAAAAGAGTAGGTTGAACAAAATAGGTGTTTAGTGTTGCAGGGAGCACCAGATCTGTTGTTTTCTTCAAGGTTCCGTCATAAGTTACACCTAATAAAACCTGATATTCTAACCATGCTCCCTTCCGTTTCCCGTAATTTCATGCCGTGGGATCCTACACGGGATATTTATGCGGTTAAATGATCATATTTTTCCACGTACACGTGACGAATTAAATCACGAGAGCGCGCCGGACTAAGACACAGTTAGCACGTTCTACATGCTGAAGTTTGTGTATTAGAATATTGTTGTGACAGTACTGATCTATGAAAACAGTCGTGGTCCGTCCATTCATCACATCCGGCGAGTGAATTACACATGTATTATAACGAAATCAATAAAGTTAAGATCAACAACATGGCGGATTAAATTACCACAAGGTCAATGGTGGAGGGAGGGACGAATACAATATTTTACTAAGCCTTTTCACAAACACACTCGACACCCAATGTCCATGGTGTTCAACTTTATGTGCCTTTATAAACAATTTAGATGTTATCAGTTCATATTTTGTAATCAAACTATTACCTCCTGAAGGCCAAGGATTTAAATCAGTCCCGTATCTTAAAGCTTCGTATTATTCGCAACGAAGTTCCCTTAACTATTACCTCTTTCAATTTCTATAAAACGAATACGATGAAACACAGTTTTTATCATTATGTAAATTTAATTGTGCAAAATTTGATATATCGCCCTATCCAGTCAATCAATACAAACACCTAGTTGTAATTTAACATATTTAACATACCAAATTACCTTTAATAGTTTTACCGACGTAATGAGCAATGCTTACTACCTATTATACAGCTTATCTGCTAGCTCTAAATTTGATTTAATTTTATAGTGTAAATATTATGTATCAAATACAATACTGTATAAGCAATTAAACGTTTACTGAACGACGAAGGACCTTAATATATATCACAAGTGTTTATAAGTTAATTATACCAAATTGGGGAATATTTCGAGTCCCAACGCGTCGACAAGTTATTCTGAGTGACTGCACAAATTAAAATAATTATACTAAAGCATAAATCTAAATAGCGATCTTTTTAAATAGCACGTGTTTTTGTCAAAATTGCAAGCCTGTGACTCGTGTTATTTTTTTTAAGAAATTAAATCATTAACTTAAAACATGCAAACATTTAAATTTCAACAATTGTTTAAGATCCTTCCTTCAGTTTTAACAAATGTTTTACTGGCAGCAAAATAAAAATTACCAACTTCCGCCACCTTTTCTTTTTATATAGCCACTGGTGGTCAAACGGCGGACAGGAGTGAACGATCAATTATCTTGTTTATAAGTAGTTAACATTTCTATGGAAGCCTTTTAATAACAAGTAAATTGTTTGTTGATAAAATGACACTTGACCACAACTTCAAAGTTGTCTTGTGAGTACATGCGCTAGCTGCATTGTACGCAGCTTTTCCACAGTATACTTCTGAGCAAACAGTATATCACGAATGCCTGAACAGCCAATGTGAATTGTTGGAACATATGCAAGCTTCTAAAATAGTCTCACTTTGAAAACGGACATGCTAACTTTCTTGTGCAGGTTCGGGTAAAGAATAGTCCATATGTATTCTACTACATGTAAAGCACCATGCACAATCGGGGATGACGGTATTCATTCATAGTTTATTCGATTAGGAGACAATGAAGAAACTTAAGACTGACGTTCGTCCTGACAGCAAAACTTGAAATATATTTCTTGTTTTCTCTTCGTACTTCCGTACTATTTTCCCTTCGGCAGTGACACCTTATTCAAACCTAAATACACATTGTACGGCCAAAGAAAATATACTTGCCATGTACAGATACATTGAAATTCTTCTGTCTGTTCCCGTTTTATGCTTTCTGAAATTCTGTCATCCCGAATTGTTTACAGGGGCTAACATTAATAGTCTTCGTGAATAACGGGATGGGTAAAACTGACCGGTTTAAATTTAACTGTTTACGAAAAGTCGAACGAAGTAAATGGCGGATAATATGCTGGCATAGATAACAAGTACATGGGTCAAGTATGTTCTATAACCAGGACATCTAGATAAAGTTTATCTGACCAAATACCAAAAGAAGTGTAGCGATGTCGAGGTCAGAAGTCATAATAAGGGCGTGCTTGTTTTAATTTTCTGTTATCTACTACAACTGAACCGCTGACGTACGTAATGAGATAAGTATTGCTATCTTCATTATTGCTCTGTTTTCCTACATGTGATCAACGATTTACAGTCATTTCAAACAAAAACGGGAATTCTATAATGTACCATCTATGAAAAGTTTACAGTGATGTTTGGCCCTAATTGACTCACATTGTTGATGAGTGTTTTTATCTTGATTTATTTTTGGTATTGGTAAAAAGATGTATAAATGTAAAACATATATCAGACTTTATTATAACGATCAATCGAGTTGAAATATTCACATATTTATTGAACAGAAATTGTATCAAATACACTTTACATAGACTACATCGTAAAGAATCTGTCACGTTTTTGTTCAAAATCAGCGCATTCAATCATAAAATGTTTGTGAATGGCAGATCGCATGATTGACAAAAAGGTTGCTATCCTTTATGTAAAATGTAACCGAGGGATGTAGGCATGGCCTATGCGCAGTCGCGAGAGGACAACTTCCGGCCGTTAAATAATACCAAATAAACCCTTGCATAGTTAGAAGTCGCCTACATTGAACTTAGCTGTAAATTATATATAATCGGGCGTTTAACGTTATAAAACCTTCTTAATCAGGTATGAACTTAATTGTACAAACATACGTTATAGTGACAGCTGCCCGAGAACTTCTAGCTTACAAATGTGTCTTTCGGGTAGAGTAGAAAAAATAAACTCTCGCTTAATTCACCTCACTTCCTTTGAATACAGGTACCGGCATTTATTCTAAATCAATAGCATCTTTCAAACATCATCTCGAGCATTGCTATAAATGAATACATTATTTTACATTTAAACCTACTGATATCGTACTTTGTGCGGTTCGAAATCCCCCCTACGGTACCCTCTTGCGTGCATACAGTATACTCCGAGCTATTTGGGGTCCTATTTATATTTTCACCGGCTTTACAGAAAGAAAGCTGACTACACTCGACGTTGGCTTCAGGTCATTATTATCAGCTATGTGAAATTTCATTAGAAGGTATATAATTGATTTGAAGGGTTTTATTTGACTATATATAGAGCCCATTTAAAGTATCGGCGTTTTTTAGTACTCTTAATATCACTCGACATGTAAAAATATTTCCTATTGATTAAGCCAGTTAGAATGAATGTTATAAACAAATGAATAACAGAAACTCACTGTTTGTATCTTTACAGATGGCATACCGTTTTATACGTTCATATAGAGGACCAGTAAAGGGCGTTATTCTGGACTGGAGTGGTACCACAGCCGACAAGTACGTCTTGGCACCAGCTGTTGTCTTTGTGGAGGTTTTTAAGAAACACAAGGTACCTATCAGCATGCCTGAGGCACGTGGTCCGATGGGATTGAGAAAGGACCTTCACATCAAAGCCATTACAGAAACGGAGGAGGTCAGAAAAAGATGGCATGCCGTTCATGGGAAATATCCAGATCAGGGTGACGTCGACAACATGTTCAAAGACTTCGTTCCTATGCAGTTGGCGTGTCTGAAAACATACACAACATTGATACCGGGAACTGCTGAAGCCTGCAGAACCTTGAAGAACGAGTTTGGAGTAAAGATTGGAAGCACAACCGGATTCCTTCGCTCAATGGTTGATGTGCTATTGGAAGAAGGGCGGAAACAGGGGTACTACCCGGATGTCACTGTGGCTGGTGACGAGGTTGAAAATGGAGCCCGCCCGAAGCCACATATGGTGTATAAAAATATGGACCTTTTGGATCTGAATCCAATACCGGCCGTTGTCAAAGTCGACGATACAATATCCGGTGTTGGCGAGGCTCTCGAAGCTGGATGTTGGGGTGTCGGTGTTGCCAAATACAGTAATTATATGGGCGTCGACAGTTTGGAAGAGGCCGATGCTCTAACACCCGAAGAAGAAGAAAAAAGGTGCAAAGTCTCTCGAGATTTGCTCATACAATCTGGTGCTCATTACGTCATTGACTCCATTGCAGAATTACCTGAAGTCATAGAGGATATTAACCAAAGGTTAGCAAAGGGAGAAAAGCCATAACTTCGTTTATTATCACACAAATCTTAATAAATCTCTATATAAAGTAACGAGTATTTGGCGTGTAACATATATATTTGTTAGTTTAGAACTATATAGGACGATATATTTACTAGTCTTATTTTAATAATCAGATATTTGTTACTTGTGTGATTTTGTGTCTCAAGTGTTAAATTAAAATCATGAGATAGACAGTTTTAATCTCTTTTCAATTATCTCATTGTGAATTTGATTTACAACTGCATTTACTGCTCATTATGTTAACAGTTCCGTAGCGGACATTTTAACACATAACAAAAATTATTTAACGTTTTTCCAAGTTACCTTTCTTGTTTACTGTGCGTTTGTGTAATGACGGTAATTAAATAATGGCAGGGTATATATCACAAAATTATTTTGTTACGTTTTCATGTAGACATACAAATGTAATTATATATTGTGCACATTATATATTAAATGACATTGATTCACAAATATATAGACTTTTAGTTCTCTTTTATTTATACGATTTTTAGTGCGAGATATCTAAAACGGTTGAAAAAAATAATGCATTTTTCTATTTTCGAAATTGTGGCAAGGAAAATAGCATTTAGATGGACAAAAGGAAACTTATTATTTTCCAACAAATAGCTTATACCCGATACTACGGTAGAATCTGGAGTATCTGCTGAAGGACCAATATATCGTTTTATATCAGTTGACAGTTACAATTTCAGCAAAATATACAGTGCTAGCTGCAGAGTAGATACAGAATATAACCGTTTATCTACAATACTTAAAAGCGCGGGGGATTTTGTTCTAGAGCAGTTTGCTACAAAAGCGTTTAAATTCAAAACATTGACGCATTATTTTAATATATATTTATCATCAAGGACATGATATCTACAACATAAAGCTAATACACGGCATATTTTGTTCATTGATGAATATCAGGCGCGTAGCTGGGCTCTTTTGGATGTGCATGCAGAAAGTCACACCAAAGGTGCGAATGCGAGCGCCGAAGGCGCGAAGCCATTCTAGGGGGGGTACGGGGACATGCCCCCCCCCCCCCCCCCCCCCCCCAGATTTTTTTTAGATATATAAGCTCTATCGTGCCATCTGGTGGTCTTTTTAGAAACATATTTGAGTGCTTTAATTTATTTTACAGACAACATTTTTTGGTTGATTCATCACTATATTATTGGAAAGCATCGCAAAAATTCAAATGTATTTTAAATGCGAAAGACAGCTCTCCTTTTTTTTCTCCGACAAAATGTGTCGATTGTTGGAATGACCCGAAAATATCCGTTGCGTCATATCTCTTTCCTGATGAATCTAAGTTAACTAGATATTTAAAATGTCGGAGCCAATATAAACAGATTAATTTCAGATTTTTTGCCCTTGTGTACCCCAAACCCTTTTTATATCCTCAACATTTCTCAGAACATAATATGACGGTAGCTCCCTTATCGATGTTTAGATACATTAGTGTATATGTATATACATGTATCAAGTGGCTCTACTGAAGATAGGCCTAGGACTACTCTGAAAAACATACTTTATCAGTTCATGACAGGGAAAAATGAAGGCCTATATAATGTCACAGATTAGCAAAAGCTACATGTACGTGGCTTTTTTCTGACTTTTGAGGCTTTGCCTTTTTCATATTTCATTTGCAGGGGAAGCGAATGTAAAACTCAGATGGATCCTATACGCGCATATATCCGCCCTAAAACCTATAACACTAATGCTAGTAACAAATCAATCTACAATTGTTATTCGGAAGACCTTTAATTGGTGAAAAAAAATACACAAACATACATCCATTCCGGAAAAACAACCCGCCTCCGTTGACTTAGTTGTATTTCATTACAATCGCTTGTTCAAATGTTGACGTGTATGGAACTTGAACACGTGAGCTTTTCCCCATCTTTTTGACAGGATATAGATATCCACCTTCACTTTAGTAAGACGAATATCGCCCTCGCTTGTATTCCCGATATCACGGGTAACAACAGTCAGACTCGGGGGGTGACCCAAGAATTAATTTTGGGTGTTGCCCAAAATTTTAAACTCAGAAGACTCAAAAAAACTAATAAAATATAATTGTCATGTCGGCTGTACATGTATACTACTTTCTGGCACCAAACAAAATATAGAACTTCATTATTTCTGAGATTGTGACAATTATAATTTCCCTGCCGAGCAGAGCGAGGCGAATTCTTTTTCCTAAAGATGTAATACTAAACTTGTTCAAGCACTGTCAAGCGTAGAAAGCTAGAATTTATCGGACATTATTTCCATTGTCAAATAGATCGAATAAGGCATAGAATAGCTTTCTGAGTTTGCGGTATTATTCCAGGTTATATTTTATAACATAGAGTATTTATATTTTATGATGGCCGAGCGGAGCGAGTGTTAACAAATTCTCTGAAACAATGGTAATAATGTAGGTTTTTGGTTAAAATGTTGATGTTTGTGTCATGTGCATGTAGTTTAGGCGAGGATTTTGGCAATTAAATATTGATTTAGTTTGTCATAGAAATGAGGATATATATACATGCCAGGCTTTTAGCTAACAATGGTTATTATTCACCTGATAACGTGATGCTACTAAGGTGGATGCTTTACTGTCTTTGACATTTTTGAAATTTACATCTTTTAACCGGTATAATAAATCACTCCTGGTGATCATGTGCACATGAAACCACAGATGAAAATACAGGTTTATCTATCATGAAATGGACTCTACCTTTGAAATAACAAGTAACATATATACCTAATTCCAACAGATGGTTTTATCCTCTCTCAACGAACAGGGTGATCACCACACCGTGACATTAGAACAATACAATAAGGTAGACAGTCCGTTGAGCCTTCACGACTGACCTGACTGGAGACCCTACTAATATATAAATATATTATTTAGAGTATAAGTAGTGGACTCCTTGTTTGGGTAACTGCACCCTTAGTTCACATGATGGTTGATATTGGAAGAAAATCCCATATGTAAAAGAGGAAAATCTTCAAAAACCGAAGTCCAGATTATTTTTTGACACAGAAAAAAGGGTGTTGCCCGGGCAACTAGGGCAACCCCCCTGGGTCCGCCACTGAGACTGATCAGAACTGTGTTTGGTCCGGCATTACTATAGGCCCTAATACTAATAGCCGTTTTAGACTCGTCGATGCCTAAGTTAATGTCGCAAGAGGATGTTGTTTCATGTGAACTTACAGCTGCTTGGAAGATGTCATGTATCAACTTGTTCTTCGAAGATGATGCGGGTTTTTCGCTGGATTTGCAGCCATGCATGTTTCCGATGTTAACAGGTTTAAAAATACTAATAATATGAAATCGGCACCAGGTACCCTAGGTTGGAACTTCCGGATACGTAATGATTGTCGGCTGTCGGTTATACAGTTAAATCACGGACATAGATAACAATCTAATTCCGTGGTTAAATTTAATATATTTTTCAATTGAACCACACATCATTTAATCACTTTTCCGAACTACAAAATAAATAAATAAATAAATAAAAATATAATAGTATATTTGAATTTTTTATGTGCATGCAACTGCTTATTTGCTTACGTGGCAGCTACCCGCCTGAATATTCTAAAATTGACCGATTGCAACGTGTTGGTTGTGTATAAACAGATAGGCATTATGTAACTCTGGAGTATATATTTAGGTACATTGTACGTACATAAGCGTACTTGGATAGTTTGGCTTTGGTTTGGTTAAGTATTGGTTAACGTCCTATCAACAGCTATGGTCATTTAAGGACGGCCCCCCCCCCCCCCCCCCCCAATGTGTGCAAGATGTATGCGTGTAGTGTACATGTATGCGTGTATGCTTTGGGAGGCTGCGATATAATCGTGTTTATCTCCTTGTGATAGCGCGGAACTGATGCCGACTTTAAAGTGCTACCTATAATCTTAATACAAACACTTACACCCAGTAGGACACCCCACCACCCGGTCATATACGCTATATGGTCTGTAAACGGTTATAAAGACATTTACTCGTTTCTCAAATCTCCCATGGGACGTAAACTAGTGAAAACTTTATGTACATCAACATGTTATACTGCTCCAAAAAGTGCATACTAATATAGTCGATTCGCATACATTAAGTGTCGGGCTGCAATTTAAATCTCGGATCGGAATAATATCATAACTACATTGTAAGATGTGAATACGTGATATAAGTGTAAGTAAGTGGTGATGAAAACTATCATAGTAGATGCTTTATGATAAAAAAAAACATAACGATAAGTTGTAATTCAGTTACCATAGCAAACGTATGAAAAAGAGAAACCAATGACGTAACAATGAATACCTGCTCACAAGAGAAGATAACTCTGCATTTCGCAAAGACGGAATAGCGCACATGCTGATGTCGGAGCGCTGAATGGCACTACAGTGAACCCGATCAATTCCGACCTCCCGTTGTATCAAACAACAGTTTGTGTTCAGGCATGCTAAAGTACATGCACATCCGTACGCATACAAACACATATTTGCTACAGAGGACACCTACAAATATTCATTCTTCCCACACAATAACACAATGGAATCTCCTTCCCATAACAGCAGTACAATGCATAAAAATCGAGGACTCAAGGCACACATACTCTATGTAGCCCTTGAAGCCCTCATCGCACGTTAGTACATATACACTGCACAAAAAAAATGTATTATTAATGTTTATGTGTATTGATTGTATAAATTGTACATCTGTGTACTGTAAAGGGCTTTACAGTAGCTAGATAATAGGACACTACATACAATGTTGTATGTTTCTTGATATTTATTGATATTTCAGACCAATGGGAACTTTTAACATTTCCACTGATCTTAAATAAAGACTTTTCTCAGTCGTTAATTATAGTCAATGAATGTGAATTTAAGACAGAATCGGGTAATCCACACTGATGGTATGGCCATATTGTCCCTTATTTCCTATTTTTTTCCCCAATTTTTCAAAACGAAAACAATGTGTGTCAGGAAAATAATTGATCATATAAGGATTGAATGGCTTTTTTTCAATTTCATACGGTCATGACCACTGAAAAAATACCTTGACCTTCTTTCAAGGTCACAGGGGTCAATAGTGTCAAACACTTCAAATGACTTCTTCTGAAGAACTGAAAGGTATATAATCTTAATATTTGGCTGGTAACTTCTTTGGATCGAGCACGACATAGTTTTCGTATGACAATGACCTCAACCTATTTTAAATGTCACTACAGAGGTTCGAAAGGGCATCAACATCACTATAGATGGAGCCCTTGTAAATTTAAGGAGAGAAAAAAAAGAAGAAGAAAAAAGTGAATGTGTCAATGAAATATTAATCATAGGTTGACAGTCAGTCGGTGTTTTGAATATATGTTTGGAAACAATTTAGATCTAACTGTTGATATTGCTTTTAAGATAATTGAATAACGATTTTTGATAATTCTAGAATCAGAATATATTAGCAGAGACGTATAAATGTTATATATATATAATACGTCTCTGATATTTAGAAAACGTACACTATATCAAGGTCATCTAACAGTCATTTATACCAGCATCTTATTGATAGTTTTTGCCTTATTTTATTTAAGTTTAGGCCTATTTCTTATACAATATTGTTCCAAGCACAATGAACTGTTTTTGTCCTTTTGTGCCAACTTTTTGAAGTTTTTATTTTGCATTTGTTTTTGTCGACCATTTGTCAAGTTGGCCCTACTGAATGACCTATCCTGTGTTAATGGTGCCGTTAATCATTATTATTAATAATAATAATTGAACTATCAAAGATAAAATATGATCAAACAGCATGTTTAAAAAAAAAGGTTTTCCTTTGTTAGAACACGGAGTAAATATAAACTAATTGTGGTCTAAGGCCATATCATCATTTCTAGAATCGCTTACTTCCCTTTAAGTAGCTCTTTAAATAACAACGATACAAATTTGGGCGAGTTCGAGTTCGTGCCGGGCGAAAAGGCAGAATTTATTTCATGATTTTTATTGTCATTAATATATATATGTATTTTTCAACATTTAGATAAGAAACAACAACAACTAAAACACAGTGTGAACTAATTATGTTTTTTTTCTGGTTCGAAAGTGTAACTAGTTTGTGTTTGCCTAGTGGGTCGAGTTGTCCTATCCTGCACATGGAGATACAAGTCGAGTGTTGATCATATCAATGGCAGATAACAAGGACACTGAACAAGAAAAGCGTGATCCAGATTACGCTTACAAATGGTTTCCCGATAGAGGGAAGGAACGGACATCGTTCCAGAAGATACGATACGGTAGACAATCCAGTAGCTGTTATAGGAGGATAACGAATTGCATGCAAAAAGGTGAGGTGAAGCGTAGTGTTTACCCGTGAAAAGAATTTTCTGGTTTTTTTTAACTTCTGATTCATACAATATATACCATTAACTTACTGCATGCCAAATCTGAAGTCGATCGTACCTGTGCAATGCACGGAAATGATATAAATACATCGATATAATGCATTATGTAGGTTTTTTTAACAAAATGTAATACAAGGGAAGTAGCTCGTATATAAATACAAGTAATAAAGAGTTATACCAGACCTAGACTTATTGGTTGATATCTGGTTGCACTCAAATGTATGAATGATTGCATGCAAATGTTTAGGCTATCTCACTATATGGAAGCATTTTTCCTGATGATTTTGGTAAAATGATTTGGTCTTTAAGAATGATATTGTGTGATGAGCATTGAAGTTAAAAAAAACCTGATATGCATAAAATAAACTTTGTCGTCAGTGTAGTATCAGACAATCAACACGGGCAAGTGGATTTTTGCACATCTGATACATATACAATGAATGTCCTATGTTCAATCGTATGCATGGAATATTTAGAGGGAGTGTTTTTTCCTGCCCTCACAACTCCAATAACCCAGGTAAAATATAAACGGTCTGGGATGGGTGACTCGAGCTTACAGTTGCAGTATCTGTGCTATAGCATTCAATTGAAGTGGCACTATAAAAGATGCCATTGAAAGCATGGTCCTACCTGTGTATACATGTACAGTACTTATTCTAGCTAGATAATAGGACACTATTTAAAATGTTGTATATTCATATCTATTTATATTTCAGACCAAGTTGTGAACTTTTAACATTTACACTGACTGATCTTAATCAAAGAATATTCTCAGTCGTAAATTATAGTCAATGCAGGTGAATTTAAGACAGAATTGGGTAATCCACACTGATGCCATATTGTCCCTTTTTTGTAGTAGGAGTTTCTATTTTTTTTCCCCAATTTTTCAAAACGAAAACAATGTCTGTCAGGAAAATAATTGATCATATAAGGATTGAATGGCTTTTTTTTCAATTTCACAAGGTCATGAACACTGAAAAAATTACCTTGACCTTCTTTCAAGGTCACAGGGGTCAAATATGTCAAACACTTCAAATGACTTCTTCTGAACTGAAAGGTATAGAATCTTAATATTTGTCTGGTTACTTCTTGGGATCGAGCATGACAGAGTTTTCTTATGAAAATGACCTCAACCTATTTTAAAGGTCACTGCAGAGGTCAACAACACTTTAAACGACTTCTTCTGAAGAACCGAAAGGCATGGATTCATAAGATTTGGCTGGTGGCTTCCTGGGATAGAGCCAACAAAGTTTGGGAAGGAAAATAACCTCGTTACCAAGCAAGGACAAACTAAAATGTCGGCACGTCCTTTGAAACAATAGTTGGATGCATGAGGTGGGGAAGATATGTCAAAACAAAAACGAAAAATCTCAAGACAGAAAACAAAACAAAACCTGTCTTAACTCATGATCATTCACTCTTGAAATTTCATAATGAACTATTCCAACCTTTGAATTGGAAGGGTTCAAATGTGTCTTCAGGGTTGAATGGGTTATTAAATGTAGGATTAAAAGGGAGGTAACTACTTAATTTCATTGTTGTCTGATTCAAAATACATAATATTGATTTCTTGCTTTGCAGATAGGACAATAGCCTTGATAGTCAATGCTTTAAACAGCTATGGGTGGTAAGTTGTTCCAGACTTTTAATTTCATGTATTCCATAATTATCAGTTAATTTATATTCATTTTCTTATTTTCCTTTCACACCAAATGTCAGGTTATTTTATTATATAATACATGTATACTGTATAGCAAAAATTCTTGATGCTCATTATATGTAACATTTTAGCTCTGAAAAGACAAAAATATTTTTTCACTAAATTTGAAAATATGAAGTTATAAAGTCACCAAATGATAAAAGATCTAGAGAAAAAGTCCATTTCAGAGAAATATTATTAGAAAAAAATATTCATATTAACATCGTGGTATTTCAATATATATCCATCCTGTGTGGAACTTATAATTACATTATTATACAATGTTTTTTTTAAGCAAATTTGATAGGCGTCACATTTCCTGTGAGACATGTAACGAAGGACAAGCAGCATACGATTTCCGGGCAAGGCAGGTAAGAATAAAATTACATTAAAATAAGTGATGAGGAAGTGTTCTTTCAAGAAATTAGTTTTTGGAATTACACAATATTACAAGATGTGTGGTGTTCACATGATCAAAAACTGCAATAATAGTGTAGCGGAACTGGACTGAGTCGACAAGTTTGCTAACCGATGTGATTTGTGCATATTTACGGATAATTAATAAGGTATAAGGCTTCTTTTTTTTCTTCAAGTTTTAAACTATACATTATGTCTCAACAGCACGATACTCACATGTTTAAACCTAACACCGATAATGTTAACCTACGTCAATATGTCCTAGGCCTGTAAGCGGGGGATATATATTCAACAAATTAATCTGTTCTTGTATCTTTTCAACTTTGGCATAATACTTGCCAACCCTCCCTTTTTAGCAGAAAGACTCCCGATTTTGAGCCCTTAAATTGAGCATTTTCAACCAGTGAATTTGCTTAACTATTCCACTTTTCTACGATTTAGTCTGAAAGAACAGCTCAAAAAAAATGCAATTTAAAAGTGAATTTTTTCCCAAGGGTGTACAAACACACATTTTTTCATGCTTTTATTCTAACCACTAGTAATCTCCCCCATGGAAATTTTAAAAAGTTGGCAAGTTTGCTATGGTAGCCTACCATAGGTGTGGAATTTCCGCACAAAGCGTGAAAAACACAATAGCACACAGCTAGCTAGTAGAGTCCAGCTGGCTGTGTTTTGATAATCATGCAATCACCAATCAACTTTAATCAGCGATTAAAACTATTTGATTCACTTGGTACTCAAGGTACTGTACCAGAGAGAACAGACCCTTTATTCACAGTTTTACAGTCATTGTAGTACCGTAGGTAATGTGTAGTGTGTACATTGCAGAGTCGAATAAAGTGCAAAATACACTGATCAGACATCTAGTATACTTAAGGATCAATCTTATTTCAAACTAGCCTTCCAGATTTCATTCCATGATATTGATCAACCAGTCATGCCAAACAACATGTTTGCACTTTATAATTCAACTTTGGGATTAATTATTAAATATTACAATTTTGTGTGCAGATATTTTTGGTGAATTGTGTGATCACACAACTGTGTGTACCTTCTTCACATGAGCTACTAAAGAAATCAATATTACCGTACTAGCATTGTTCCGTTTTAGGCTAAATGTGATTATATATACTGCAAATAATACAGTCTATGATCTTCAAAACTATATGATAATTTAGGTCGTGTTATAATTAACTTGTTATGCAAATAAAGAACTTATTATTTTATTAAAACACAGATCGGAATTAGATGTAATAAACATCAAAAGTTACCGGCAAGCTGGTCCAACATTCTATAAAGTGATATCATATGAGTAGCTAGTAATTTATTTATTAAGTCATGGAAATTTCAAAAAATCAGGCTGCAATAGTAGATTTTGTCAGGTGACAATTTCCTGTCAATCATATTTTGCCCCAGAGTACTAGTGGTAAAGTTGTTTCTACATGAAATCAAAAGTTTCTTTTCAAAGCTGGCTGAGGCTACAATGGCCAAGTAGTTAGTTAAGGGTCTGGCCGGCAACGATCATGATCACTAGCCCTCACAAGTTCAAGGCCTATGTTGGGCAATCACCAGGTACTAGCTGCATGTCAGTGATTTTTGTCCGGTTTTAATTCACCGCCAAAACCTGGTGTGTCCTTAAATAACCATAGCTGTTAATTAGGATGTACAACACAAACAAACTTATCAAAGCTGAGTAATGATTTATTAGTCCCCCACCGTTTCGCGGAGGGAATTTAGGGTTGCACTCCTTCTGTCTGCCAGTCCATGAAGTTTGTCTGGAACATATCTTTTATACTATCTCACCTGGAGTAACAAGATTTGATGTACAAGGACAATGGGGGATGATGGAGTGCAGAGTGCAAAAATTAGGTCACTGTGACTAATGACTTGACCTTTGACCTTTACTGTTGAAAAAGTTTGTCCTAGGCATATTTTCTTTACTATTTCACCTGGAGTAACCAGATTTAATGAACAAGGACATCTCAGGATGACGGAGTGCAGTGTGAAAGAATTTGGTCATTGCGACCTTTGACTTGACCTTTGACCTTAACTTTTGAAAAAGTTTCTCCAGGGCATATATTCTGTGCTATTTCACCTGGAGTAACCAGATTTGGTGTACACAAACATCTTGGGATGATGGAGTGCAGAGTGCAAGAATGGGTTCATTGTGACCTTTGACCTTTACTTTTGAAAATGTTTTTCCATGGCATATCTTCTGTACTATTTTACCTGGAGGAACCAGATTTTGAGTACAAGGACATCTTGGAATGACAGAGTGCAATAATTAGGTCACTGTGACCTATGACTTGACCTTTGACCTTAACTTTTGAAAGAGTTTCTCCAGGGCATATCTGCTGTACTATTTCACCTGGAGTAACCAGATTTGGTGTACACAGACATCTTAGGATGACCGAGTGCAGAGTTCTCTTGAGAATAAAATACATGTGCATTTGATCACAGAATTTGTCTTTCCAGATTTTATTCAAAGCAAATTATTTTAAGTTCAACTGCCACAGTGCCTGTGAGTTAATGTAAAATGCAGTGTCTGTCCCTGTCTATTTGTTGATATTTTCTTTCAACTTCTTCTTCAGAACTTAAGACCCAGTGTCCTGACATTTGGCTCGTTGGTACCAGGAATGTAATACTGTAAAGTTTCCTCATCCATAATCTTTATCAGCTTTCAGTCACTAGGGTCACATACATGCATCTTGAAAATTTCAAATATCTTCATCTGAAGAACTGAATGACCTAGATTCATGAAACGTTGGTGTATTATGCTGACTAGCAGTTCAAAATCATTTTCTAAATGTCTATTAAAACATCTAGATACAGAGCACAAAATAGTAAAGCAATTGCAATTCATGTTTTTATTGCATTGAGCCGCTTGTAATTATCTTTTAATTCCTTTTTCACAGGTTGTTTTTTGCCAGAACAAAGTGAAATCTAGTGGCTACTGCGGTATATTGGCACATGAACTAATTCATGCATTCGACGACTGCAGGGCTAAAGTAGATTATAAGAATGTTGATCATATAGCATGTACTGAGGTAAGTCTCCAATATAACAACTTTCTGAATGTTTCAAATGGGATCAAATTGAGTTCAAAACAACAACCAATTGTACATAATTTAAAGGATGTACGTACCTCAGTTTCTTAGTATGAGAAATCGTTTTTCACTCATTTATCACTGGTCCATCTATAGTCTGGAAACTTTTCTTTTTTTTCTTTTTTTTATAAGACAGATTTATGGATTTCGATTAATAAACTTCAATGATAGGAAAATATTGTATGTATGACGGGAATCATGTTTAATCATGACAATATACATGTATAGTATGTCAAGGTCAAGGACCTGTATCATTTCTAGACAATTTGGCATGGAAGGAGTATTGTATCATTACTAGACAATGTGTTGTGGTAGGGGACATGTATTTTATCATTACCAGTCAGTTTGTTGGGGTAGGGAACATGTATTGTATCATAACTAGATAGTGTGTTGTGGTAGGAGACATGTATTGTATCATTACTAGACAGTGTGTTGTGGTAGGGAACATGTGTTGTATCATTACTAGTCAGTGTGTTGTGGTAGGGAACATGTATTGTATCATTACTAGACAGTGGGTTTTTTAGCGCATGTATTGTATCATTACTAGACAATGTGTTGTTGTAGTGGACATGTACTGTAACATTACTAGACAATGTGTTGTTGTAAGGGACATGTACTGTAACATTACTAGACAGAGTGTTGTGGTAGGGGACATGTATTGTATCATTAGGGACATGTATTGTATCATTACTAGACAGTGTGTTGGGGTAGGGGACATGTATTGTATCATTACTAGACAGTGTGGTGGGGTAGGGGACATGTATTGTATCAGTACTAGATAGTGTGTTGTGGTAGGGGACATGTATTGTATCATTACTAGATAGTGTGTTGTGTTAGGGGACATGTATTCTATCATTACTAGACAGTGTGTTGTGGTAGGGAACATGTATTGTATCATCACTAGACAGTGTGTTGTGGTAGGGGACATGTATTGTATCAGTACTAGACAGTGTGTTGTGGTAGGGGACATGTATTTTATCATTACCAGTCAGTTTGTTGGGGTAGGGAACATGTATTGTATCATAACTAGACAATTTGTTGTGGTAGGGGACATGTATTGTATCATTACTAGACAGTGTGGTGTGGTAGGGGACATGTATTGTATCAGTACTAGATAGTGTGTTGTGTTAGGGGACATGTATTGTATCATTACTAGACAGTGGTTTTTTTAGCGCATGTATTGTATCATTACTAGACAATGTGTTGTTGTAGGGGACATGTACTGTAACATTACTAGACAATGTGTTGTTGTAAGGGACATGTACTGTAACATTACTAGACAGTGTGTTGTGGTAGGGGACATGTATTGTATCATTACTAGATAGTGTGGTGTGGTAGGGTACATGTATTGTATCATTACTAGACAATGTGTTGTGGTAGCTAGGGGACATGTATTGTATCATTACTAGACAATGTGTTGTGTTAGGGGACATGTATTGTATTATTACTTGACAGTGTGTTGTGGTAGGGACATGTATTGTATCATTACTAGACAGTGTGTTGTGGTAGGGAACATGTATTGTATCATAACTAGATAGTGTGTTGTGGTAGGAGACATGTATTGTATCATTACTAGACAGTGTGTTGTGGTAGGGTACATGTATTGTATCATTACTAGACAACGTGTTGTGTTAGGGGACATGTATTGTATCATTACTAGACAATGTGTTGTGGTAGGGGACATGCATTACATCATTACTAGGCAATGTGTTGTGGAAGGGGACATGTATTGTATCATTACTAGGCAATGTGTTGTGGAAGGGGACATGTATTGTATCATTACTAGGCAATGTGTTGTCGAAGGGGACATGTATTGTATCATTACTAGGCAATGTGTTGTGGAAGGGGACATGTATTGTATCATTACTAGGCAATGTGTTGTGGAAGGGGACATGTATTGTATCATAACTAGACAGTGTGTTGTGGTAGGGGACATGTATTGTATCATTTCTAGACAATGCGTTGTGGTAGGGGACATGTATTGTATCATTACTAGACAGTGTGTTGTGTTAGGGGACATGAATTGTATCATTACTAGACAGTGCGTTGTGGTAGGGGACATGTATTGTATCATTACTAGACAGTGTGTTGTGTTAGTGGACATGAATTGTATCATTACTAGACAGTGCGTTGTGGTAGGGGACATGTATTGTATCATTACTAGCCAGTGTGTTGTGGTAGGGGCCATGTATTGTATCATTACTAGACAGTGTGTTGTGTTAGTGGACATGAATTGTATCATTACTAGACAGTGCGTTGTGGTAGGGGCCATGTATTGTATCATTACTAGACAGTGTGTTGTGGTAAGGAGTATTGTATCATTACTAGACAATGTGTTGTGGTAGGGGACATGTATTGTATCATTACTAGACAGTATGTTGTGGTAGGGGACATGTATTGTATCATTACTAGCCAGTGTGTTGTGGTAGGGGCCATGTATTGTATCATTACTAGACAGTGTGTTGTGGTAGGGGACATGTATTGTATCATTACTAGACAGTGTGGTGTGGTAGGGGACACGATACAATACATATTGCGGTATAATGCTTAGGATACAATACGTATCACAATACAAATATCTGTTTTAATGGTCAACTTCATAATGATTAAGTGCAGGATTTTATCAAGTTTTTTCATAAACTTCAATAATAAATAGTATCTGTATCAAAATATGTTTTTATATAATTTCTAGTACTTTTGGGCATGACTACACAGTGGACAACATGTACTCTCAAAGATTTAAAAACATCAATCAGTACATTTGTTTTACTGATAAATAATTTAAGTACTGTTAGTGTATACGTATTGCAATACAGGTAAACAAAACAATTTGATACGATACTCAAGAAAGTATCGCGATTCTGTATACTATATTGTTTCAGCCCTATAGTATAATGTACCTAATGAGGGTGTTTTAATTTTCAGATACGTGCTGCTAATCTTACACAGTGTGATTTCTTCAATGGTTTGGTGTGTGGTGTTGTAACCCCAGGCTTGGATAAAAGTCAACAGGTAAGATATGGTTAAAAGTGCTTCATCGTCAAAATTAACATATCAGGCTTGCCGATTTCCAAGAAATATGAAATTCTCTAAGGAAAAAACCTGTTTAAAACATTTAGTGTGCTGATACAGAAAGTCAGATATTCAAGGACTTGGGGCGTTAAGGGTCATTTTTGACGTCACAAACATTTTAACTTGAATTTATTTATCAATTTCTGTTATAAACATCATATTGGTAAATTGGGGCTATCTTTCTTGGTGCAGATTGTTTCCAATTACCATTCTAAGATACCCTACCATAGCAACAAAATTGCATTGTTATGCAGAAATAGCCAAAATATAGTATTTTTGGACAGCTATCATGCAAAAATGAAAGCCTCTGCATGCCACAAACAAAAATGCCTTTTTGCGAATGAACACTTGTATGACAGTGTTTAAGCATGTCAAATATTTATTTGTTTGTTGCATGCAGAGGCTTTCAAAAATTGAAGAGTGTTTAGTTAAACGTCCTTCAAAATGGTTGTTTCTTTACCAAATAGAGCAAAACAGACATTATTCATGCATTTTATTATGAAAACGTGGGATCATGTCTATCTTTGTAATGCCATAGCTCCTAAACCAGTTGTCGAAGGAATTTGAAATATTTACATGCTTCAGTTATTCCAGATTACGAATATTACAGTTAAATTTAAATCCCCGCAGAGGCCGGAAATTTCCCTTATGTCCCTAGTCCTTTTTTTTGCACCATACTGCCGTTTCATCCATTAAGGACTCATCAGTTTACATGATTCAAAATACATTTTAGAATAAATAAATATGTACCAGGATTTAACTGTTCACAAATGATGTTATTGAAGTAATTGCTTCGTTATTCCTCCTCTGTATGTCTTGACAGGCATGTGTACGTGGCCATGCTATGTATTCCCTGATGATGAGTCGGAACCTATCCAAGGAAAAGGCGTTGGAGGCCATCGACAGAGTGTGGGACCGCTGTTATAATGACTTAGAGCCTATTGGACGACGATATAAACCTAACAAAGAGGACCGAAGCATTGCCTCTCATGAGGCCAGAAAGTTTGGATTTTAAGAGAGAGAGGTTAAGATATAGGGAAAGTTTTTCTTTGTTTTTACAGTAAATTTTCATCTGTGATACTGAACATGTTGTGTTGTTTTAATATCAAGGTTCATTAACAGGGCTTAGAAAGGCCCAAAGATAACAGTTTGGCATTGAATTTGCTCTGAAATTGATGAAATGGTTGTAAAGGCCCCTACATTTTACAAAAATGACTTGAAGGTGTCAACATTACATGAAATGATTTATAAAAATATGGTATATAAAGTTTTGTGGTGTTATTCTGTTATTTTTTTTAAGGAAATACAAGAAAATGAAGAACTGGTAAAGTTAGGGTCAGCATTCGGCCCCCCACTTACATATTTTCCCCCCATATGTAGATTCATTAATTATTACTACTGATAACCTTAATGGACCTCCTTGCATAACACCAGGTTAAATGACAGAGGTATCCTAACAAAATGACGAATGAATATCACAGGCGAATATAATTTTGAAAATGAATTCTGATAGTGTATAAAATCACTTTTATTTTGATACTATAGGTGTCATATTGGTATACATGAAGTAAATGTAGCAATACTTTTGATTTGATAAACATCCAAAATTTTCACAAAATCTAAAATATATCCAACATCGTCAACTTGTTTATAAATGTTAAGTTACAATGGAAATCTATATTTTTAACTTCCTTAAAAACTTTCCATAATATATACATTCTTTCTACAGAATCACCTTTATGTAATATCAAAACCGGTAAAATACTTTTTTAGCATGCCGAACATGGCCAATGCACTATTTCACATAAACATGAAGATTTGATTATCATTGTTTCTTATGTTAAATGCCGATACATTTTCTGATTTTGTATCCATACCAAATCAGTATATTATATGTGTTTTTAAGTTACATGTATGTGCAGTAGTGATAACCCATAAATATGTAATCTGCAAAAGTAATCTCTCCTTTAGAGAACTACTTAAGGTTCAGATTGTGTTATAGACAAAGATATGCAGATATATTAAAACGGTAACATAATCTTAATAATAAAACTAATCTATGTTTAATTATTATTTGATTTCGTCTTTTGCCTGTTCGTTAAACAAAATATTAAGAAATATTACATGATTTTAGAACAAGTAAAGCAATGTAAGATATCCATGTCTTACTCCCCATACAAAAATGAGATTTTAGCACATTTGATTTTTGTGACCTTAAAAGAAGCTCAAGGTCACCAATATTTACAATACTTATTTCTCCATTCACATTAACAACCAACTTGCCAAATAGCAAGACCCAATGACTTTATGTGATGAAGAAACACAATTGAAAGGAAAAGTGGAAAGAAAGCTTTGTTTTTTTCTTCTTTTACTTCAAGGTGACATATGAGAAATTTACTGGTTGTCAATGCTTTTGGAAATCCTGGTGTTGAAAGATAGCCAACTTTTAAGCAAGTGTTTAGAAACAGATATTTCATCATTGGAAAATCAAATTAACATATCACCAAGCACAGAACTATATACGCAGTATGAAGAAAAAAAAAACAATAAGAAAGTATTAGAAAAACTAAAAAAGAAGGTTTGATATAAAGATCAAAAGCGAATTGGTATGAGAAGGCAAAGGGTAACAAAATACTTCTATGATTTAGAAAAAAGAAATTTTGAAAATAAATGTATAACTGAGTTAATTACTGAAGATGGTAGGGTTCTTGATGGTCGAAGGGAGATACATGCAACCCAGGCTGAAGTTGATTTTTGAGCTTATGCCATGGTGCAGCATCCATCGTCTGTCCGTTCGTCCTTCAACTTTGCCTTTAAAATGATACTAGTCCTGAACGGCCCAGTAGATTTTTACAAAATTTGGTCTGGAGCATCCTTAGGCAAGAAGACTCGGAGGGGTGGGGTCAAATATGGGAAATAGAGGTAAAACCTTTAAAATCCTTCTTCTACCGTAGAGATTAAGGGATTTCATCCTAATTTGGTCTGGAGCAACCTTGGGCCAAGGGGTCTCAGTTTTGTATAAACGGTGGGTGTGGCACCCCTGGGGGCACAGGGGTGGGGCCGAATAGGGTAAATTGAGGTAAACCTTAAAACTCCTTCTCCTACCACAGGGATTAAGGGATTTCATCCCAATTTAGTCTGGAACATGCTTAGGCCAAGGGGACTTAATTTTGTATAAAATGTGGTTGTGGCCCTTCTGGGGGCTGAGGGGTTGGGCCGAATAGGGGAAATAGAGGTAAAACCTTTAAAATACTTCTTCTACCGTAGGGATTAAGGATTTCATCCTAATTTGGTTTGGAGTGTACTTAGGCCAAGGGAACTAAATTGTGTATACACCTTGGGTGTGGACCCTCTGGGGGCAGAGGGATGGGCCAAATAGGGTAAATTGAGGTAATTAAACCTTAAAAATCCTTCTCCTACCATAGGGATTAATGGTTTTCATCCCAATTTGGTCTGGAGCATGCTTGAGCCAAAGGGACTCAATTTTGTATAAGTAGTGGGTCTGGCCCCTCTAGGGGCACTGATGGGTGTGGCTGAATAGGGGAAATAGAGGTAAAACCTTTAAAATCCTTCTTCTACTGTAGGGATTAAGGGATTTCATCCTAATTTGGTCAGGAGCATAGTCCCCAGGCTAAAAAGGGGTACTTTGGGCATGCCTTTTTGTGCCTAAAATGTACCTTTGAACGTAGGTACTTTTAAGGTGCCCCATTTTTTTAGCACTCTCAAGGTATACCTCAAATGTGCCCCATTTTAGACGTGCCTCAAATGTGCCTGTTTTAGACTTAGATTTTTTCAACGTACCTCAAATATGCCTCTTTTAGACTTTGAATTTTGTCAGCGTACCTCAAATGTGCCTCATTTTGACTCTGATTTTTCACAGGTGCCCCATTTGGACTTTGATTTTTCACATGTGGCCCTTTTAGACTTTGATTATTTTTAACGTACCTCAAATGTGCCCCATTTGGACTTGAACTTGTTCTCAATACTGCAAAATTGCCCATTTCAAATATACTTTTAATGAAAATGTGTTACCCATCTCCCACTGTAAATGTCCATTTTTTCTTTTCTTTACTTTTTTTTTCTTTATAAAATTAACCATCAAAATGTCTTTTTTGAATGCCAAAATAAAAAGAAAGTAACAAGCTAAACGAATGAATAAATAAACTTGAATTCTGTGAATTTCAGTTTCAATAAACATGCAGTGTCTAATTCAGAGACGTGTAAAGCCACGTCTCTGTCCAATATAAAACAGAAAGAAAATTCATAAAACACATTTCTGGTTCAGTCATTGTTGCATTTAACGTTCAGTCCCAACAGCTAGAAAGACATTATTGAAAGATTTCAACGACACATTAGTGACATATTTATTAAAATGTAAAACGAAAACAATTAAACTACGGAATGGAAGTTAAAAAAAATCGGCCATGTCTTAGACGATACGAAATACTCTGCAAACTGTTTAACTCTGAAGTAGTAAATACAAGTATGTGTTCATACCTTGTATTTCTATTTCTTGAACTGATATTTGAAAACGTGTCGGGGGGGGAAAAATCGTAGGAATGCTAAATGCGTTGCAAAATGGGCACGACGATTTACCCAAAAACACACCCCAGAACACCCCAAAACACACCCAAAACACCCAAAACTACCCAAAACACTTTCAAATCTATTTTAATGTAAATAATAATCTTAGACGATTGATTGAGTCTTTTCTTAAAACCACCCGGAGGTATGCTACCAGTTAAGGGGAAGTAAATCGTATATATTGGAATACCGTAAGAAATTGTCCCGACGCAATGTACTTCATTGATTGTTTTTTATGAACACGCATGTCCAGATGCACTTGACTGGTTTCGGGATTTAGGGCTTCAATATTTGTCTAATGTAATTTGTATGTATAATATAATAATAAACGAAAGACATTTTTACGTACATATTTTATTTCAGAAGCAAGGTAAATCGTTAATCGGTAAATCACAATACGTTATACAAAGATATAGTATATGCATAGTTTATAAATAAAAACAATTCACAGATAAATATATTTCACAATTACTGATTGTTCTAAATAAAACGAATACATAATTAAAAATTATATAACTAAAACATTTGTTACGCAGTAAGATTAAAATTACCAAGAATGTTACAAAGGATAAAAAGTCTACTTCATATTAAATACAAAATAAATAAATAATTATGAATACACATAAAAAGACAAGTACAATATAAATAATGCAATTGCATGTCTAGATTTCCATGAAAGTATGGTTTCGACACGAGGATACTGAGACAAAAAATATGCATAACTGTGACCAAATCAATATTAATATTCTAAGATATACATACATACTACAAAGAACGTGAAAAAGATCAGTACAATTTATAAATAGTCGTACTTTGAAATGCAATTTCATGTCTAGATAACCATGAAATATGGCTCCGACACGCGGAAACTGAGACAAAAAATATGCATTTTGACTATATATGTTATCAACGAAAGGGTTGTGCACTACAATTTAATTTAGAATACGAAATATTGATAGGTTGCATGAAAGTGGCATTCTATCGTGTTTTCTCGGACTTGCACCGTCGACGTTGGCCTGGTTTTTTCCCGCAGCTCTGTTTTGGTGGTGGACTTCGGAAATCAGAAGTTGTTGACTTGACAAAATTTGAGTCCAGAATTTTGATTTTTTTTCTTTTTTGCCAGAAAGTTTTGGAAATATGTCCTTTTCTTCATTCCTTTTATTGATCCAAGTATCTCTCGAAAGTTGAAAAGATTTGAAATTTGTGTGTACTGAGAAGTTGCCACTTCCATGCAATGCTCTTCTGAGGTCAATAATTTGGATGTTTCCTACTAGTGCCATTTTCTCAATTAAATCTGGTAATCGGTGTTGTTTGAAGTCGGCTACTTGTTTAAGTCTGTTGTTTATTGATTCAGAGTTGTTGTTTGTCCACAACTCTTAAATCAATTTGTTCCGAAGAGGTTCAATGACAACTGCTTTTAATTTTGGTTCAAGAAAGCTGTCCCAATATTGTCGGAAACTGTTTGTCAGATAGGGTTCAAGGTCATCTTTTCTTTTAGCATATTCCAGATCATTTTTGCTGAAGACAATACCGTCTTCAACAAAAATGTTACTAGAAATGCGTTGTCTGTCTTTCAGAGATGTACCGTGCTTTTCAAGGTACCTATTTAAGTTTTCTTTAATGTGTTTTGTACAAAGCAAAAAGTTTCCATTTGGAAAACTGCCATGTAAAGCATTTGTCATTGCA